GAGAGAGAGAAGGGATCGAGGAATGCGGGAAGATACAGGTGTAGCGAGAATCCGTGGATCCATGAATCTAGTGATTTATAAACGGACCGGGCTGCGCGTGGATTTAATTTAAGATGGAGATAATGATGGAAGAATTTAAAATAGGATTCCGCGCGTATGCGATTTTGAAAGCTCGATTGAACGAGCGGGCTACCATCCACCCGCAGAGAATACTTTATATAGGATGATTCTTACCAATCTTGCCCTTCCTTTCATTCTTACCTATCGACGCTTTAGGGAGAAACGTCGATGAATATAGATTCCTTTAGGCTTTATTTTCACGTGTGATCCTGTCATAATGAATTAACGAAAATGTTCAAAGTGCCTGTTTTTTCGCTGTAACGCACAATATTTTCTGACACGACCTGATGTTTACTAATATGTTATTATTTTAAAACGCGCTATAGCGCGTACGTTACAACCGACATTTCAAGCATTTTCTTTAACAAACCTGTATTAGAACGCCGATTACGCCGTTTCTTCATAATAATAAGATTTGATTAATACTTATTATCTTATTGAGATAAATATATTGCGTGTCTAATTGCACAACAGACAAAAATTTTCCATTAATTGTGAGATATATTTGTAATAAAGAGATATTATTTTTATATGAACTTGGAGACAATTTCATTCAAATAATACATGTATATATCGATCATCTCTTTTGTTATTAATTTCCGCGACTCAACGAACATTTTAATTCACCGGCCAACTGTTTCCTATTCTTAACTTGTTACGCATATGTTTTGCGTAGATTACGAATCATTATAAATATTAAACTATTGTGAGTAAGAGGATGCGTGTATATATATGCAATATAACACATTCGTTTAATTCACAAATCGACGCCCGACGATTAAAAATCTCAATCTTTTTTCAACTGTATAGGACACGCGCGCGCGCATCGATCGCATTCTTTTCTTATTTTTAAAGATTTACGTTGAACGTCCTCTCGATCAAATATAATTCTCCCTTCAATCTTTTCGCGTGCGTTCGCTCGGCTATTTCTGGCCGCTATTTCTCCGCTCCACGCTCGAAATGCGTAAAGCGCGTATACGGTGTCTTCGGGGTAAATCACGCCTGGGCGCAGAATGCAGAACATCCCGCGGAACGCGGCGCATCAAAACCGCATTTGTTTTAACGGGCGTTCCATTGAATCCGTCACGGTGAGTTTAGGTCGACCGCGCGCGGGGTTCGGCGAGCGGGGGATAAAGCGAGGCAAGTAATTTGCGTGTAAACAAATGCAGAACGTTCCACCGTACGTACGCCGCCGCGCGGCCGGCGCGACCAGCCACAAGATGCCGGTCATGCCGGTGTTGCCGGTCACGCGCGTTGCCGGAAGATCGAAATAACTGCATTACGCGCGTTCTCTGACGAATGTTTAGAAGAAGAAGAGAATCAATCGTCGAGATTCAAGTTAAATAATTTAAACGAATTGATACTTCGCGATAAAGAGGCAACTAATTTTTACATTTTTAAGTATATATTCGTAATCCTTTGAAAAAGTAATATTTAATAAGTGAAACGGGACTGATATGATATGCAGTCAATTAGAGAGAAAGACACACTTATATACGGTCCGGACTGGATCTTGGTAGTCTAATAATAGCATTGTGTAAATTTTGTATACTTTTTCCAAAGTCAGTAAACAGCGCGTCGATTTTTTGAAAGACTCATCATATAGCGGACGGTTTTATGTTTTGCGAAATTTAATTTCTTTATATTTGTTTCATATTTTTATCCTGACGACGGCGACGTTGTTGTGTATGAAAGGGAAAACTACACGCCACGGCAAAGGGTTAAGCAACATATTGAAAATATCCATCCAAACGGTCGACTAATTCTTCTGCGAAAACCATCATATATTTTCGCCATGTAAAATGCGTTATTCACCTAAAAAACGAATTCAAAGTCTCATGTATTTTAACTCGATCTCCATTTTCCTCAACAAAATATATAAGCTTGACATTCGGCGTTATCGCTAGCTGATCCGCTGCTTCAGCGCGGAAATTAAACCGCACGAAAGTGCGAATTGTTGTTTTCGATAGAAACGTCCTGGACGACGGCAGTCAATGACATACGCGACGCATCGTGTCGGATGCGACGGGACGCGCGTTAAGTTGTGCGAAGTTGCGAAAAAACGTAAATAAACGCGCGTCCCGCGCGGTTCATCGTACATACATGTGTTTGTTGGTGTCGGGCGGTGAGTAAGCTCGCGGCTTGCCGCCGCGCGTCCAACGTGGACGCAACGCGCGTAGACGCGTCGCGTATTTCCTCGGAGAGACGGAGAGGCGCAGCCGGCCGCGACCCGGGTCGCGTCGCGTCGTCCGTGCCATGACGCATCGCCGTATTCGCCGTGGCCGTTCGCGCGTGACTCGACCACGCACGCACGCACGCAATTGTACCTGCGTATAAACGTGTGGGCGAAAAAATTTTCACACACGTGTAATAAAAAGCGCGAGTCGCAACGGGACGGCGCCGGCGGCGGCGCGACCGCGACGCGTCGTCGAACGAAATGCGACGCTCGTCGCCTTTTTCGCTCCGTTCGTTCGCTCGTGGGAACGAGACGCAGCGAGATAATTAAGAATGGTCGCTGTGTGCGTCTCTCGCGACTAATTGCGCGCCCCGGCGATATTTGAGACTAACGAGACACACGGACTCTGACGGCCGCGAATTCTCTCTCTCGGCTGCACACGTATATGCATGCGTATGTACGTGCGTGCGATCTCGTTGAGGCGCGTCGCTGTGATAATCGCGGAGGACGATCGGGCGAGTGCGTGCGTCTCGCACGCGAGGACTCCTCGATGGCGAATCCGCTCCGCGGATTTCGCACGTCCCCGTAATTATACGAGACGGTGTAGCGTTTCTGTTATTACTCGTCCCGCTGCGAGTTTTACTGCGCAAAAAGTATCAATCCTGAGGCAGTTGTAAAATGAACGTTGGCAGAGGATCGTCTTGCCCTTCTGTTACGCAGGAATCTTTCGGATCACTGACCTCTTCCGTCAAATATTTAATCTGAATTCCATTTTACTTTTAATTTCGAAAACTCCAAGTAAAATAAACTTATACGAAGTATAATTTCAAAAATATTCCGATATATATTAAAAGAAAAACACAGTGAGAAAGCTTTATTGTTTCTTCAACACGAATTCCGAGCAGAAGCTTTCACGTAATAAATTAAGAACCAAGTGAGTCTAATGCATGATACATTTTTCCTCGATTTGCATTGAATTCTCAGAACTAAAATAAGATAGTATTAAAAGAGGAATTGACATTTCGCATGGTGCGCGGGCTCTGATGTGATTTTAATTTGCGCGAACCCGGCATTTGAGACCGATATCGCAGGCATCGGTCTGTAACGACAATGGCTGCGTTCGCTTTGGGTGCTTTCGCGCTTTGAAAGCATCACTCCATCTTTTTTCAACATGTAATGAGCAATAAAGATAGATACTGACGCTTTCAGCAGGAAAGCGCCCAAAGCGAACGCAGCCAATGTCGACAATGTTGTTTGCCGCACATGTCGACATTGGCGCACGCCAAATTACGCTCCTACGCAAAAAGAGAGGAATATACGTCGCGCACAGCAAAATGTTACAACACGCACATGTTTCTCTCATATTTCCACTTGTGTTTTTATTTTGTTAATTTTCTCGTATAATATATATACTAACAAAACATTTAATTACAAAACATGGGCAATATCTGTGTGTGTCTTTTTCCGTGTGTGTGTATGTAACGTGTGTATGTGTCCTGTGATGAAAGCGGCTATGTGTTTTCCTTTCCTATGCGGTACGCGTACCTTTTTCTCGGTTAATGTAGATATTACGATTAAACTTCATAAGTTCTCTACGATAAGTAGATGGATTGATAACGACAATTTACACGCAAAAAACGTGTGGCAAATGCCCCCTGTCCCTCCCTCTTCGTACCTCCCCCCTCCCCGTCCCGCCCCTCTCCACCTTCGGATTCGTTTCCGCAACTTCGTTTCCTCGTTCATTTAATCGCACTCATTTTTTAATCGCGAGAGTGAGTTTTGCTCGGTTCGGGCCACCGTTCACCGAAAATTCTCTCTTTTTCTCCCTACAACCTATATGTCTGTCATAAATATGCAAACGCAAGAAGGGATAAAAACGCTACTGTAATATGCGATATAATAATATTACCGTACTTCGATATTAGTTATAAATAGTTTTTTTTTTTTTTTAATAATTATTTGTCCAAACACTGAATATTTTACAACAGCCATCGAATCTCAACTATTTTGTAACTCTATTTAAACAGTTTGCAACTTTTACAGTTCATCATTCTTTATTTTTTTCCTCAATTTCACTTTTAATATTATTATGCGTATAGCGCGTGTCTGATCCAATATCATATCAATAATAGGGATATATCGTAAATTTTGTAATTTCCTAAAAAATATTCTCTAAAAAATATGTCGACCTAAAGATTATTATGACTGATAATCACAGACAATTTTTTCAATTTTTCTTTTTCCCTTTCGTACCGCCGTACCGAGTTTGTCAGTATAATCGTTATTTTCCGTCCTTCCCCTCTTACTTTTCTTTTTAAACAAGTACAGTATTTCAAAATTCTACACTCCGTTTAAACGTTAGAATAGTAGTTTTATACACGTCTTAAGAAGCGTTTTAAATTTCAATTTTTCTCCCCTTTTTTTCTCTCCTCTAATCCCTTAAATCGTAAGAATATTTTTATCTCCTCAGCTTATCCTTCTATCGAGAAGAGAAAATAAAGAAATAGATCGAAAGAGTGCGCGATGAGACGAAATTCCCGGTTGTGAGAGATCGCAATTGGCGTCAGACGGTGCGCCGAAATCGTCGCGTCGCGTCCCGAGAACGCGGTAATACGCGCCGCGCGCTTTATCGTTTCCGCGAAGTAACATAATCACTCGAAATTTTTAAACGCAACGCTGGGAACAACGCGACGCCCGTTCGGAGCGAGTCCGTCTCTTGTCGAGAGGTAAAACATGCGTAAAAGTCGGAGAGAAACGATCTACCTATTACATCTATACATTAGTATCATTTTTTTTCTTTAATTATTGTTAGACTACACGTTTATTCGTCGTACCGTTCTTCGGATGTTCGTCGTTTTTTTTCTTTTTTTCTTACACGCAGCGTTATTTTTGAAAGGTGCTGATGGGTGTAGTAAACAAACGGTGCTTGAATGTGCCCAAATATACGAGTGACTTGAGTAGTGATGTATTATGCTTTCTCTTTCTCCTCTTTTTTTTATGTGTGTATAGATTATAATTAATAGCGATAATAATAATAATAATAATAATGATGAAGGCTGTATGCGTAATACTAAGGTGGGTCGTACGCCCTTTCCACGCAGTTTAAAGAGTAGAGTTCAAAAAGACACAGAGTATGTTTCAGAAAGCATCCGATATAGATATTCGTTCGCATTCACCAGGCAAGGATTATCGGGAGACAAGTAAAAATCTCTTTTTTTCTCTCTCTCTCTCTCGCACACTTTTTGTGTCTTGCTACAAGCACACGCTCAAACTGTTGCCACCTTTTTGCCCGAAGTACTCGCGTGGATACTTTACAGAAGTCGTCGGTGATAACAAATGAGAAGAGAACAATGTATTGAGAATTTAAGTCTATATTCGCGAGTGTAGAAATGAAATCGGACGATGATGGATAGCCTACAGTTTACAATCATAATACATAGCGATGCGAAAATCGGGTTACATGGTATGTATGCCTACGGAGTATACACTTTGTAAAGCCGAAATTAATTCTGACGTCCGTAGCGTTACGCTCCAGGAGGCTGTAATCGAATCGAAGAATACACGCTTGCTCGTTTGCTAGAAAGAAAAGAAAGGATCTCTGATTCTTGTATCCGCGTCAATATATCAATGTGACTACCATATATATGCACCGGTCCTACATCGTTTTCAAGTTTTACGTTAGTACTTTTTTTCCGTCAACCCTAATACCATCTCGTTCATAATCAATAAATATCAATAAAATATCTAACATTGTTATATTTTCAAGTAAGTTACCATCCTTACTAGTCGTATTACTTTTCATGTACAGATTAAAATTAATTATCATTATATTAACAATATTCATCCTCGAATATAATAGTTATTAATTATCGGTAATCGTAATATAAAAAAAAAAAGATTCACAAAATATCTAAAAAATGGCAATTTCACGTGACCAGAACAGGTTTCCGTTTTCCCTCGTTTTTTCATAACTTTTTACAACTCAGCGTACGCGCTTTGTACCAAACCAGGCCGATTAAAATCGCACGTCTGACATTATTCGCGTGCTCAAATAATGCGCTCTCCTGCCACCATATTTCACCCCTTTATATTACCTCTTTAAATAATTCACGATCAATATTCTTCGTATAACGCATTTCTTATTATTATCAAACACTTCCGCACTGCAATCTTACTATCTCTTACTCTAGGCCATTTTTTCATGAAAAGTGCACTTAACGGTGTCCATGGAGCACCAAAATTTAAGGGACTACCACCTCGGCAGAAATTGATTAATCGCGCTAAAATACATCGTCGTAGTTGTGTCGGAGGGCGCCATGCTACGCCGTTGTTGCGGTTGTGTTAGTTTCGAATATAAAATATCATTTGCGTAAATATATATCTAAATCTATCACCGGGTGAAAGCGTAGGTACATGTAAAAGTAAGGCAAAACTGGACTTCACAGAAGGATATTGGTACGGAATACATGGTATATGTATGTATATATATCCGTAAAAATGTAAAATATATATTCCTATGTAAAAGCATCTCTAATATATTTCCCATTATGGGAAAATATCACAAACGTTCCCCGGAAACGTACCCGGAGACGTTCATCTCAAACAATGCGTAAATCTTCGTCGGTCTGAACGAACAAACTAGATTTTTGATAGAAATTCTTTTAAAAGGATTATTGAAAACTATTAGCGATTCTACTAAATAATAGTCAAACGAAATATCGTATCATTCGGATAATAAACTCGATGAACCATGATCTTGGCAAGGTGGAAGCACAAATATAGATGCGACGTCTAAAAAATGTACAAAAAGGAAAAAAACCAAGAAGGCAAATAATAACTCGAGCTCGCTTCATCATTTTCACGTACACTCTACCGGCAGGAATGCCTGGACATAATACATATACATATACCTGTACATATATGTCATATACGTATCAAAATGTCCAGGCATTCCTGCCGGTCAATGCAATAAATGAAACTTGATCTGAAAAACAAAAATATCCTCTCGGCAATGACGCCACGTAAATAACAAAAAATTGTATCAATGTCTGCCAAAGTAGGTACACCTTCGAACAATATCCTGCTACAGGAGACTGTTCTCACTTGCCATTCTCTATCTCTCTCCTTAATGCCTACATTCCTAACTTAAGTTAAAACTGGTTTGCTGTACTTACATCAAAGACGATATATCTAGTCTAACAATTACATATTTTACAAAAACATTTGAAATCTGGCCCTACAGCAGACATGAAATGTCACGAAGTTAGTCATACACTGTACACTAAATTTAAAATTTACACAAATCATTTAAATATACAATTGTCGCGTTATTTTATGTTCACGCGTTTGATAAGATCATTTGTACACGATTATTTATGTCATTTATGTTTTTATCTTGCGACACTCGAAAGAAATATAAATGGCTTTGTGAAAGCTGCGATCATTATATCGAAAATCCGTCGCTCTCTTATCATACTCTCGCGAGACCATTTTCCATTTTCATCGACACGCTCGTCTATAAGGGGAAGAGTTTTCAAACCCGATTAAATCGAGAGATCCATCTCGTGCAAGATGCACAGGAATTATGCGAACTAAGGAGCACTCGCATTTAGTGTAAAGTGTAAGATAACTTGTACACTTAAGCCTCAATATAGTAGATAATAGGTAGAGTCTCTAAAAGTCGTGCGAGAAAGCACAGGCGTGAATAAAGTAACACTTTCAAAAGTCTGAAGCGCGTAGTAAAACGCACGACTTTGTCGGATACGAAAGCGGGACATACTCGAATGGTTTATTGCTATAGGTATACGTGTATATATACCTCCCAGTTAAATCAACTACAGGAACGTAGCTGTCTAAAGTAACATCGTCGTAACCGCCGTGCTTCGCGTATTACGTCTGGCCTTCTAATATTTAAAATGTATAATCTATGTTCTTTTATAGTAATAAAAAGCTGCAATCTCTGAAAATAGTTTGATGATGAGTAAAATGAATAACATTCAATAAAACGAATCCTATTCGAAAGCGCGCGCGCAATTATAGCACATATTTCATTTCTTTGTCATCGGTCGGCTGCTTAGGATAAGCTGTATATACGCAGTCTCAGTTGAGGTATTTGCGACATTTGCGAGAACCGCAAGTACACGGGATCTTGATATCCTCGAATGGGAATTTGTAGTCGTACGTCAACTCCTCCCCTTGAATGATGCGACGAAGAGCAAAAATCAGTATGTGTTTCTTACCTAGAATGTCCACCACTCGCGAGTAGCAGTTTGGCTGTAACGTATAGATTTTCATATAATACAATGTTTATCGCAGAAATTTAAATGTATCATGTATATGTAATGTTATCGTACGTGACGATTACGTAACGGTATTAATATTAACTTAACGCTTGATTATATATTATGTAATCAAATTATATATAATGCAATTGAAAATAATTATACTTTTTTATATATTTAAAAACATTGCTACAAGTAACAATGTCATTAAGTAATAAAAGCTTTTGTCAATTTAAATTATTAGGTAAATTCTTGGTAAAAGAAAAAAGAAAGAAATGTCTCATACCTCGCACGAATGATTGATAAATCTAGCTGCATTGCCTTTCATAGTAGCATCAACAACTAGATGATCATCGATTTTAAACATGTAACAGCCTATGTTCTTGCTGTCATAGTACTTCTCTCTTTTGTCGGTCAAGGAAGATCGAATAACCTAATGATAATAATTTCAATAATGATAATAGTAATAGCGATATCGGTTATAAATATCGCGACATGACCTCCTAATATTTATAAATAGTTGTTTGCTACTTACTTCACCGGCGTATTCAATGACCATTTCACCAGGCTCGATATCTCTCAAACAAAACAGTCCTCTACCATGTATGTGGGAATAATACACACCGACAGATGTTTTTGATGTTTCTTTAAGTATTCTAAAGCGCATGGCCATGGGCAAATTGGTACTCGCGGCTCGCCTGAAACATTCATCACAATACTCTATACTCTATTGAATAAATTAACAACGGCGCTTACTTTTTTTTTATCTGAAATATTACAGATTCTATGTATAACCCAGAGAAATACAGCTTACATTCAATGTATAATGTATATTGTATATCAAAAAATGATACGCGATTGTTGATATAAATGCAAATGCATCACATCGGTGGTGCACAAGACTACGCGGAAATGCTATTAAAATTCATATTGATAATCAAATATCAGAAATTATAAATTAATTTATCTGTGCATATGCAACGAGCTTTTACCTCGATTCCGTTTCCGATATTGTAATTATGTTAGGATGCGGCCTGTGCTGCGACGCCAACCAGCTGAACATGTCGTGGACTTTTCTGCCCTTGAAAGGCTCCGCTCGTGCCGCCCCGTTGGCGCACGCCGCCGGCAAATCGTTCTCCATCTCGTCGGCTTTCGGCGGCGCCAGGGTATGGAATTTGGGCTTGTACTTGCTGCATCTATTAACGCCCGGCAATTGCTCGATCAGGTAAATGGCCGCATTGTTCTCCAAGCCAAGACTCTGGCACAAGGGATTGTGAGGCAGCGGGGGCAGGTTGTGGGCCTTGCGCGCATTCTGCACCGCCTGGTACACCGTCTCCCAGACCTCGGTCATAGACGAGGCGGTATGGGTGAAACCGTCCTGCGACTTGATCTCGTACATCAAGATCGGTCCCTTCGAGCAGTTCTTCTGCACCAGCGGTGGATTCTGCTGCGGATCGCTTCGCAGCGGCCTGATCGACTTCGTCACTATTCTGGGTTTCTTGACCGCTACGGGCGGCGCCTTCGCCTTAATTATGTTCACCTTCGCGTCCACGGGCTTTACCTTATCCTCGAGCTTGTTCGCCTTGAGCGTGAACGTCTTGATCGGCAGCAGTTGTAACGACGCGATCTGAGGTACCTGCTTCGATGGCAATATCTCCACGGATGTCACCTGCGGTGTCTTTTTACTTTGGGTGACCGCCTTCATGTTGCGCGTGATCTTGTAAGAACCGTCCTGTAACTGCTTCTGCAGCACTATCTTTAATGAGGTGTTCTGCAGCTTCTCCTTGTCGAGCTCCAGTTTGAGATTCTCCTTTACCTTCTCTATAGTCTCCGTATTCAGTTTGATACTGTCGCTGATGTCGTCGAGCGCGGTTTCAGGTTTCTTTATCTGTACGATCTGCTCGGTGATTTCCTTCCTCGGTTCCACAATTTCCGGCTCGGCTGGCTTGATCACCGGTTTCGTCGGCTCTTCGATCGCCAAGTCATCCTTCTTCGCCGGATCCTGCTTGAGCGTCACCGCCTGCATCGGCAGCACCCTGTTCATCGGTCGACTGGTCGGCATGTTGCTCGTCGGCACTGTGATTTTGTTCTGCACGGGACAGGAATTAGAGACGACCGGGCCGTTACTGTTGACGTTCGTGTTTGCACAGTTCGGACTCAACGCGATACCGCCGCTGTAGCTCTTATGCATGCTATTTACATCATGGTTGGACTTGTTATTTACAATTAGATTTCTCTGCGTGACATAATGATTCGATAGCGGCGGTATCTTGGACGATGATATGCTGGATTTGATCATGCTGGTGTTCTCCGATACGTGCTTCGAGTCAAAGTACGGCCGCACGCTGTTGCTCATCGGTTGCTCCGCGCCGAACAACGACTCGGTGATCTTCCAGGCAGCTCCGTGATTCGCCTGGACCGAATGTGCGACCGGACTAGGTCTCACAGCGACGCGGGGAATCATCGGCATCGCATGAGGTGGCGGTGGCGGTGCCGACAACGCTGGTGGTAGCGACAGCGGCGGCGGCGGCGGCGGCGGTGGTGGTACCGGCGGTGATAGGTTTGTCGGTGTCACCGCATTCGACGAGCATACGTCCGCCACCTGAATCGATGCCATCGGATGATCTATGTTCGTATTTTGACACGATACCGGTGACACGGCGCTACACGCGACGCCACCGTAAACTCGCTCTTGGGACGTGGCAGAAATGTTGACTTGCGGCGGCGTCGCGATTGGTTCCACTGATAGCGTTGGTGCTGAGATCGATCCTGGTGCTGGTATCGATGCTGGTGCTGGTACCGATGCCGATACCAATGCTGGTACTGGCGCGGGTGGTGCCGGAGCTGCTGTTGGTACCGGTGGCAGCGGCGGCGCCGATTGATTGACCACCACGTAAGGTACTCCGGACATGTTGGACATACCACTCACGCCTTGCACGCTCGCTATGTTAGGCACGCCGGTTATGTTGGGTACACCAGACATGTTCGGCATGCTTGATACATTCTGCATCGTCGGCACAGCTTGCACATCCACGATGGGCTCCATCAGCTTGGACGCTTGAAACACCTGTGTTGTCGTTTGATAGCTGCTAGCCAATACCTGTGGCACGGTGCCGGCCATGAACTGACTAGACGACATCACGGTGTTGCTAACGATCGTTTCCAAGCCGTAGTACATCGGTTGATTCGACACGAACATACCACCAGTTGGGTCGGTGAACATTTCCAGGGTGGGCGTGGAGCTCAACAGCAGCTGCTCCGACGATATAACGCCACATTGGATCGCACTGGGTTGTTGTTGTATGATAGTACCCAATACTGTAGGCTGTGTTTGCGCGATTTGCACACTCGGCAATATCGATATACCGCCATTCTGCAGCGCCAATAGATTGTCGGTGGACGGTGCCTGTATGTAGGTGCCCGGCACTAAGGAATTCGCAGCGATCAGCTGCGGTTTGAAGCCGGTCTCGTGCTGTCCGCCGCCTATCGTCGTGATGTATTGTAAGTTTTGGCCGGATTGCTGCTGTAGGGCTTCCACGTAAGCAGACACGATGCCTGGCGATGCCACTTGCTGAAGGATCACCGTGGGCGGTCTCTGGTTAGCCTGATGTAGCTGGATTACCTGGGGGGTGTTCGTCATCGCCGTCGGTTGGAATCTGGCATTGTGCGCGGCATTATGCGGTGCCTGCATCACGTTCTTCAAAACATGTTGCTGCGACTTAACGCTCTTGGCCTTTGACTTGGCCATCCGTAAATTTTTCGACTTAGAGGGGACTCGGGCGATCTGTGCACATGTCTGCGCGGACTCCTGCGCGGTCTGCACGCCCATGGACGAGTAATTGGGCGACATCTCCGGGCTTGGGACGGTCTGCGAGCTCGTGCTGTCCGGCGAATTCATTGGCGTGTTCACCATGCTGTGCGGCGTAACGTTAGAATCGCTGGAGACGGACGGCGGGTCTGTGATCTCCGTTATATGCACCGTGCTTTCCTGAGAAGGTAATACTGCTGGGTTCGGCAGGGTGGTGGTCCTACGAGTGTACTGAGTCTGTACGATCACATCGTTGGACGTTAATACTGTCTGGTGCACGGTCTCGACGGTGGCATGTGTCGCATGGATCTGCGGCGTGATAATCGCCTGGGCGATCGGCTCGATCTGGATACTCGGATGGGGTGATGCCACAGACGCCTCGATGGGTGACGTTGCCTGGATGTCCGTGTAATCAGTTGTCAGAGTATGGCCCTCGGACGGTGAAAGCGTGATGAATTGCGGCGAGCCCATGTTCGGTGAGAATCCCGACTCTGGCGACGCCAGCTTGTTATCCATGGTCTCTGAGTCGCTATCGCTGGTAATCATAGAGTCGCAATTGTCTAGATGACGGTTGTAACTCTCCTCGTTACGGTACGTGCGAGCACACCTTTTACAGGTGACTTCGATGTGCTCGAACGGCGACGACTCGTATGAGGTACGAATCAGCCTCTCGTGCGCCATCATGTGTTGTGACGAGACGCACTCGTCGTCGCTCGAGATATCACCTGCACCATCCACTTGCGGGATCTGTAAATTCATCTTGAGATTCTTTTCCTTGAACAAGACTCCCGCCTTGTGCAAGGTGCACCTGGCGGTCGGTGCGATCGTAAGGTTACCACTGCCACTCTTCGTCTTCTGTGACTTGTCACAGGTACTTGACACATGCGATCTGATGAAGCCGAAGAAACGTTTTGAGTGTAAAAGATTTGAAGGTCGCACGTATGAACCAAGTTCCTTTTCCGCGATCGGCTCGCCCCCGTCAGACGAATGCTCATCGTTAATGCCGTCCAATTGCGGGATCGATTCGGACGTTTGCAGGTTCGTGTTCTTCTCCTCGGCGTTGTACTCTGGTGAACTGCACTCGCTGGCGCTATTAGCGTCAGCCGATCCGTCGACCTGCACTATTCGCGGTTGCTGCTGTCTCGGATGCCAGAACAGTCTCTTATGCTCTTTTGCGTCGTCCCTGGCTGGCAACATGCGACGATTCAGTCCAGTAGAATCTTCAATGCAGTACTTCAACTCGCGCACGGAGTCGGATAGTATATTAGGCGTGTTTCCTCTTCCCACAGTAACCATGATACTCTCCGGGATCCTCAATTCATGGAACATGGACGTGCGTTCATTTTGCGCATCAAGAACAATGAGACCGGTCTCGTTAGACTTGGTACTGGATGGATTTCGTGGCAATTTTCGCCTCTTTATGTTAGAACCATAGGTGTTGTCTAGTTTACAGCTCCAGGTGAGGCTACAAGAACGTTGATGATGCCTCTGACCGCCGACAATCAATGGATTATTCGACATCACCTCGGATTTGGATCGTTTCAGCTCCCTGCCGCCGCGTTTCTGGCTCTTTGAGTTAAATAGGTCGTCCATGAGATCTTGCATCGCGGTCTTCGCCTCCAATCGCACCCAGAGATCATTGTGCGCTCCCAATTCCAGTAAAGATGAATCCATTTTGGAAATTTTGCTTTCTGACGGCTTTATCGTCTCTTCGACCTCCGACGACAGCATGTCATCCTTAAACAAATCTGTGCTGAAAGAACCGTCATTCTTCAAGTCCATGGCTAAAAAATCCTCGTACGACATCTTTGGAAAAATGTCCTGCATGGAGATTCCATCCAACAGATCGTGCGGCAAATCTTCAAATATGGCCTCCTTCAGTTCTGGTGGTAAAAGATCCGTGTTGTTTTGCTCCGCTAAATTCTCATCAACCTCTTTGTTACACACGATATCGATGAGCGAATCTAAGGTCTGTTTGACGGCCAAATAATCGACTCTCTGCGCGTCTGTCGACACTTCTTCCTTTTCTCGCTCCTTGCTGTGATCGATAGTGATATTATTCTCCATGTCGGACGAGACGTCCGGCATATGTACCTGCACATAAGTTCTAATGTAATATCTAACGATCTTGTATGGATTCACTGTAGACCAGTAAAGTCTGGAGCATTTGTAATCGCATGGTATTATCTTCTCAGTCGTGTCAGAGAATTCCGGAATGATGGTGCCCAGACAGTCGACCATCAAAGAACCTATCATCAGTTTGACCTTGTTGGGTTCGGCAAACTTCTTTTTCTTACGATCCAACTCCACGTACACCGGTCGCTTCAAACTGAACTCGTTCTCGTTCTGCAGAGATTTGTTAGCGTGACTATTCGAATGTGAAATGCAAAATACCGTTTTGTCGTCGTTGAAAGCGAGCCCGATGTTTCTCGCGCATGGAAAATGAAAGGTATTGCTGCAGTTCTTCGCGCAACATCCGATGCTCGCGCCCTTCTTGCCGCACTCGGAGCAGCGGATCAAACGACCCCTCGAAATGGCACTGTGAACATTCTGCAGTGAGCCGTCGATTTCCTCAAACACCTCATTTGACCATAGCGCGCAATTTGCGTGTACCCATTCGTTCTGCCCGCAATACAGCAGCCTGCCCTCTTTCGTCTCATGTCCGTCGCCCAAGCCTTTGCACAAACAACATGATCTGCTGTCCTCGACATGGATATTATACAGATTCGCCGTTTTCGCCGCAATCGCTTTCGGCGCTTTCATCACCTCCTCTTTCCATGCCTCCAGAATAGGATCATCAAACTTCGTCGTCAGAGCGGTGTCTTTGCTAACGTCTTTACTAGGCATTAATATATCGTCATTATCGTCGCTGCTCTTAAAATCCTTCGGCGTAAACCATGGAAAGACCTCTTGTAAAATATCGTGATACGTTTCTAACAGATCCTTTGAACCAACGCGGTTGATTACGTGCTCCATATCACAATGAAATTGCGATAATGATTTGTACTCGTTACCATTCACCTTACGTTTCACAGACATTAACGTAGGCGAGGGCCTCGCAATGATTTGTTGCTCCGAACAATGGCATTCCGTGACATCGTTCGAAGATACTGACGAATCCTGATTTGTCCAGTCTTTTCTCTCGTTGTCTTGAGAGTCCTTCGGAATACAGTTCTTCACCCTAACCGAGCATTCTTTTAGATGGAATTTCTGTCGTAGCCGTCGCAGACCTTTTCTACCGGGACCGTCCACCGAAGGTTCCTCCAAATCGAGCTTATTTATACCATCCCTGTAATTAGCACTCGAATTCGAGTCGGTATCCGCAAACTTGTCGCCATTGCACTCTTCCGATTCTTCGTTTTCCTTCGCACAGTTCATCTCGCTCTTATCTTCGGGAAACTCGAGTTTTCTCACGCTCGAAACTGGCCTGCAGAGGCACTCCTTTCTGGGACTCCACTTGAGAGCCGTGCAAATCTTGCGGTTTTTACTCAGAGATTTTATCACGCCGATGAAACCCGCCTTCAGCTCCGCTTCTATGGCATTCCTCCAGATAGAGGAATTCGAATTGGAAGAGCATTGGCTGCATGTGAATTCGATCGAATCGGGCAGGTAACTAAGTATCTGGTAACGCTCATCGGAAAGGCCTTCACAACGGGCATGTACCCAGCAGGAACACTCGCTACACTCCATCATCTAAAATAACGCAATCATAATATATGAGTTGTAGATACAAGTTAAATTTTGTGTCTGTAAATTTACTCTACGTCGAGAGCATCGCGTAGATACTCACCTTCGTGTCGAAATCGTTTTCGTTGTAACACCTCTGACACAAAGGACAATAGTTTCCTTGTTGTCTCAACTTAAAGCACATAGAGCAGAGAGGTAAATTACCAACGTGAACGTTGACACCCTCGCTACCGCAGCTTTTACATTTAATACAGCTCTGACAAACGTAAGGTCGATCGGGACTGTACAATCTAGAGCTAACACCGGACTTTGACAGACACGAATGATGAAACGACTGACGACAACGAATGCAGGATAATTTCGGACCGGATCTGAGATGGCAGGATTGACATATCGTACACCGGGGACAACACCAGTTTGGCTGCGCACAAACGTTCCATTCACTGGGTTCCAAACAGAAGGCATGGTATGGCTCGCAACAGCATTGACAGTGGATCAGCTGTAAAGAATAATCTTTATGTTGACAGTTCTCGATGAGACATAACGCATTACTATTACATGTCTACTTGTTATCCACCTATGAACGATATTTCAAACGTTACTTACCGGCTCTTTACCGGCGCTTCCGCACAGATAGCAAATAGCAGGTATATGAAATAGCTCAGAACCGATAAGGGCGAAACCCTTCGCTCCGACCTCAGAAGGGTCGTATTGCTCCCAGAAATCTATGGAAACTGTGTATACAGTATCCACAGCTGCCTTAGACACCTGTAATAAATATATTATTTACATTACTTTAATTCCATTAAATTCAAGTTTGTAAATAAGTTTTACATTTAATCAAATAAACAAAATACCAACTAGTTATAAAAAAGCAATTTTATACTACAAAAATGAAGTAACATGAGCTCATTCAGTATGCCACAAGAAGCAGAATAAATATTCATACAGTATCTACTTAGGTCACTTCCCTCGATTATGCCTGAAAGATATCTTACCACTGGAAAATGCGACGTTGATAAATTCTGTTGCGGTTTTCCCCTTCTCGAATGAGATTGTTGTGCCGTGTTAACGTTAAGATTTAAATTATTATCTTCATTATGCTTCTGCATTTCCTTGTCTTTCGTAATATCGTCCCTCTTCTCAGTTCTTTCGGTTTCCTTCAACGTCTTTGGAATGTTTTTGCCGTGTTCGTTGTCTTCTTTCGCGTCTACAGCGGGAAAAGTTGCAATGGGTTGCCCAAGCGCGACACTGGCGCTTCGACAAACGTGCTTAACTCTCGGCCCTTTCAACTCGAGCCTTTGTCTAAGAGGTTGTGAATGTTGGCCACCGGTCGAAGAGGCAAGTATTGGATTTTTAATTTTCTTCCTTACTTTAATCCTGTTATTTTTCCTCCGTTTTTTGTTAGGCGATATACTCATCGAGGAATCAACTGCAATAAAATCATGTCGTTAGTACAAATATACAGCAATACAATCTAATATAGCAATACTAATACAGCAATACAAAAAAAAGCATTTATAAAATAACATAAGATGTTTTACATTTATCTAATTTCGTATAGAAAAAGCCTCCGGTACCCTGATAACTGGTTTTCTGTCCCATTTCGAAATTTCTCCAACTCATGGCAGACTTAAACAAATTTCTTTCCAAGCTGTCTTCCGCAGGCCAACTGAGTTTAGACGGGCCCAAATTTTGCCCCTGACCATCCTCGTCTTGACTGAGCGGCAGAGAAATAGTTAAAGGGTCTCGCATTAAAGGTGGTAACAACGCGTTTAAACCTGTCCTCAAGGCAGGTGGAATGTCGTAACATTTCAAACACATTTTCAACCAACACGCCGGGCATCTGGCTTTATAAACGCATCTCATGAGATTCCATTGTTGACTCCTCACAACAGGCGGGACTAAACACAGACCATCACCTTTATGACACTTGAGAATGGGAAGAACGTTGTTCGAGGATTTAGCGCAAGCCTGATGTTTGATCATTTTGCTTATAAACTTTCGGCAAGATTCGCAACTGTGAATGCCAAACTTGCGCGCCTGTTTCACAAATCGATAAAACCGTACTGCGCCGCAAACACCGCATTTTATAGTTCCTGTTAAGCCTGAAAGATAAACAATCATAATTGTAAGATAAATTTTACGCCGGAGATGTAAATGTTTACATAAAACAGTTTACAATCAAATTTGCTATAAAATGAGAAATATATACCTAAATTAGTGCTTCCTCCCATGGTGTTACTGGTGCTTGTTGTTGAAAATGGTCCTTCTGTTCCAGCTAAACACTTGTTATCCAACTTTAATCTCGCTTTTCTTAATATAACTTTGCCACTATTGAGTTTTATTCCGCTGAATTCGGATTGCTCGCCTTCTGAGTGACTGCTGTGCTCGCTTTCGCTTTCAGATAAATTGTTTTCCGTCTCAAAATTGTTCAATGTACTAACCACAGTCTTATTACCATTTTCAGGCTGATCCTCAGTTTCTGCACAGCCATCTTCCGTTAATCCTGCACCACTTTCAAAGTTCGCCTGATTACTTAAATCGTTCGCTATTTCATTTTGAGTTCCTGATCTCGTCTGAACTCTGGAAGACTCGAAGTGTGGAACATTGGAATCGGGAAGAACTTTTGTAGGAATAGAAATCTGTTTCTGATTTCTGGGAATTGTTGATTTCGCAGTTTGTGCCGTCCTGCTCGAGTTTTGTGAGCATTCTTGATTATTATTAGAGCTGTCGGATGTGCCATTTGATACTTTATTCTTACATGATATATTATGAGATTTCTTTACTTCTCTATGAGTGGGTTTTGATATTTGTGCGTTTTGTACAGAATTCGCTGATTTCTCCGTATTTTTTATTGATTGAGTTATAATCTCGGCATTGGAGTCTTGAATCACCCTTTTTGGCTTGCCTCTTGCATCTTTATTTTTAAATTTTGTACACAACTTACTAACTGCATCCTCTTTCAATTTTGATTCCAAGTCGCTGAGCTTATCCGAATTTAATTTACACTTTTTGACGTGTATACCAATTTCATTCTCGCTATGCTCCGTACCAGAAATTTCTTCCAATTCCTCGATGAACCTCTTATTTGGCTTTATAACTCTCGACGAATGCACGCTGCGAACAGGTAAAACGAATTTTCTTACTGTGCTAGGCTTCTCTCCAGATTGCACCACCAAATTACGTGTATTACTCCCATTAGATTTTGCCCTTTGAAGCAATCTTTTCGCAGTACTATTACGTAACTGTCTGGTTCTTTGATGCTGGTCCAAGATGTTGTTCACTGATTTTAGCACCGGGTTTTTCATGTAATTCGAAAATTTAACGTTCTTACAATTCTTACGAGTCTTAGCTCTGTGAATCTTTGGAGTATGTTTAGCATTCGGGTTTTTAACTGGTTCTGTGATGTCTTTGACTGGTTTTGGATTTGCGTCGGTAAGCTTCTCTGCGCTGTTTTCGATGTTTGTAGGAGAATTTTTAACATCAGTAACGTCCTTCTTCGTGCTGGACTGTGGTGCAAGATTTTCGACTGTGACAGACGGCACGTTATCGCTGGTCTTCTCCGCATCGTGTTGCTGTGTTTTTATATAAGATGCAGAAAGATTAGCCTCTTTAGTGCTAAATCCGTGGAACGGTGGATGTTCCTGGGGGGAAAAGATTACCTGTATGAGTATTGAAAATGACATACTACACCACAATTCTAATCTACATGTATACGATTCTTGCAATACAAGTTTTTATACCAAAGTGCCAATCTTCAAGTTATGAAAGTAAACAAAAACAAGTGACTAGTGTAAGCAAAGTTTACTTTATCTACATGACAAATGACAATTCGTCTGCTACAGACTGAACGGACTGACTCTGATTCGCAAGTGCCGACAATTCTACATTCTTTCCGGCTGCCAAGAAGTTACGGAGCAAGGACAGCAGAAGGTATGTCACACTGACGTACTCCGTACCAAGAGCGGCCAGGACAAGAACATCTACAAATCGCTAGAGCTCGACCGACATACGGAAGGGGAGGTGACGCTAAAGCGAGAAACGAGTCGTCGAACGGCAGATAACGGACGGAGGCCAGGCCGCGAAGGCGTCGCGCACCTGCCGCTCGACGATCGGCCAGCGCCGATAGGTTAACCCGCGCGCGCTTACGCCGCGCCAAGGCTCCGTCGGCCCGCGTAATCGCGAGTCCACCGAACAGCGCGTTCGCCTTCTCGTGACGCTCGCCGGACGATGTATACGCGCCGAGCGGCGAGACGCGGTGCGTCGCGGGACGCGACGCTCGTCGATCTCGCGCGACCTCGGCGCGGCCAACGACAACGACGGCGACGACGGTGGACGAATGATGACGGGGACGGTGACGGCGAATGGCGACGGCGACGACGACGGCAAACGGCCGACGGCGGACGCCTCGGCGCGACGACTTTTTTTGTTCCCCCTCACCTTCTCGTTGTCGCCGAATGTTTCGTTGAACAGGGAAAGTCCGTAGTAGATGTTCTCGGCGACAGTTACCGGATCGTTCTGCGCTGCCTCAGGCTGGCCCAGCACCTTGATCCGTTTCCTGGTGGCCGTCTTCGGCGGCTTCCCGGGAAACTTGGACCTTCCCATGTTCACCTGTTTTCAACGACGGACCTCAACCTCGCAGCGAAATTCCGCTTCCATTTTACTCGCGATTTGTGCCCACGGCCGAGAGGCGCACCGACTCTCTCGCGTACGCTATACACCGACGTATGTACGCTCTCCCGATATACGCGCGCGCGCGCGCGCGCGTGCTCACACGCACACCACACAGTACACACACGGCGAGTATACGCGAACGAACATGGACACCGGGGCCGCCGTGTGACTGCGTGTGACGCGTGTCGGTGTTGGTCTCTCTCGGGCCGCTGCCTGGTTCGGCCGCCGTCGGCCGGCGTCGGTCGCGCTCGGCCGCGGCCGCAAAATACGCGCGTAGTTGTCAAACAGAGAGCCTGGGCTACTAAGGCGGGCCTCGCCTCGCGCGCCGTCGAAACTCGAAACGCGCTCGCGCGCCGCCTTCGCCTTCGCCTTCGCCCGCACCTTCGTCAAGGCCTCCGCCGATCTTTTCTCGCTTTATGACGAATCCGTCGCTCAGGCACGCTCGCAACGTTTGAAATTCACGGAGAATACGGAGATTCGAACCGGCAATCAGGTTAGAACTTTGATATTCGACGGCCGCCAAAATGATGCCCGCGTTTGTTCGTGTCAATGGAAACGCGGCAATTATTGTGGCACAAGCAATATATTTCTCTCCCGCAACTGCGACTTGGAAAGTTAACGTCATTTTAGAAAATATCCATAAAATTACATTTTTAAATACTTTTGATACTTAATTATGATACGACTGCAGTCGTATCATCGAAAAACTTTAGCGAGGATATTATGTATTAAACTTTTTAGATATCCCTATCTTAACGCATTTATTTTTAATTGTACTTTGTCTTCGGGTCGGACTCGATTGTGTCCGATAAGGATCTCGCATGCGAATATATCGGGGCGACCCCGGCAAAAAAGCGCAGCGGGAAAAGGGCGATACGCAACGAGCGACGTTGCTCGAACTCGAGGGGATGGTCACGTGACCGCCCGGCAGGCCGGTCGGGCATTGAGAACCGCGACTGGTTTGAACGCGACATAACGCGCCGAACGTTTATTTCGCACGACGAATGTTTTATTCACGAGTTATTGCCTGCCAATAACTTGCAGAGTTGAATATATCGATTTTATAATCTTGTCCCATGGATAAATAGAGAACGCGATGGGGAGGAAAGACAAAAAGTGGAACGATTTTATTAAGCGGATTAATTTGCGCCGCATCAAGCGCGAATTTTAAATTTGTTTATTAACGGCTCGTAACCGTAATTATCGTAATAATACCACGTAAAAAAAAAATATCCGCTTATTCTCACCTTTCGCATGTGCAATTACGAAAAGTATAACTTCTATAACACGCGCGACCGTATGCTTCACGCAACGTTCGGGAGCACTGAGAGACCAATTACGCCGTGTGTTTCGTGCATAGTTCATTAAGTTATACTTTGGTACGTGCTCTATTAAGAGGTTAACGTACGAAAAGTACTAAAACGGATAATCGCTCGTGGAAAAACCGCGTCGTGCGAGATAGCAAAGATCGCACGTATACCGATATGTGGTACTGCTCCATTTCTGATACCGGCACGATAGCGCGCGCGCGCTCAGCTCCGCGCAGCTATTTGCTTTTCTATATTTCATTGCGCCTTCCTGCACATCTCTCCATTGGAATTAAGCTCAGTATCCTCTTACTCGGGCTCAGGCCGGCCTTTACGGAAGACTTACCGGCGATTCGTTTACGCCTTAGCGCATTCCCAGATTGTCGGTGCATTATTTCCGCCGAAGCTATCGCACGGGAATGAAGATCGTCTTTGCGGCGCGCGGTTCTTAATTGCTTCCGGTATATTCTATCAGCGTGTACACACGCTCTCTCGCTCCGCGTTACTCGAACGGTAATTAAGATTGCCGTAACACACCGCGTCGCTTTATGTGGACGCGCGCGTCGCGCCGGCTTCGCCTCTTCGAAAAGCGAGGCATTAAAAGCGGACCGAAGAACCCGCGGCTCGTCGATAGATCGATTTCTTGTACGTATATTTCCGTATACGCATATAGGACTTCTTGAACTGAATGCGCCGAGCGGGAACATCTGCGCCCATCCACATCGACATGTAATATTTAAAAGCAGGGCTGATACGCTCTAACGCGGGAACGGGATTAAAATTCGATTTAAATTATATATATTTAAACGGGAAACGGTCCAGGTCGGGTCATCTAAAGGCGAGCGGTACCCAAAGTAAAACGTACGGTAAGATATTTCCGCGGATATTTCAGGATTGAGAAGATATTTATCGCGAGGAAATATATTAGGACATATCTCTCGTAGACGCCCGAGGAAAATTGTAGCAAGATAATCCTTTGTTTACGCTCTGCGTGATAAATAGAGGCGAGTAAATTGCCCGTATTATCGCTACGAACGGAAAATCTATCTCCGTTTCTATATCCGGAAAGGTCAGTTCTGTATTTGGGCGATTAGATATATTTTTCCCCTCAATTTAGCGCGTACCGTTTAATGAGTCCCATTTGTTAACTTTGTACTTGCGTAATGTGCATTCCATGGCATTTAAAATAAACGTTTAATATTTGCAATTTGCTTTATAATGTAACGCAGCTGTGCTATTATAATGCATGTGCCTCTTGAAATAACCGGTAATAACACATACATTTATATCGCAGATTTCGCTCTGTTCAAATTTCAGCTTGTTCTGATCGAAAATAAGATTTATTGGTTCGATACTGCTGTGTTATATTCGGTAATGCAGTAAAAAAAAACTGTTTTTTTTTTATAATTGAAAATATGGAACTGAGACTCTTAATAGCTCTGATATTTTTAACTGTCATTCCTCATTAAAGTTTGTTTAAGCAAAAATCAAATACGACGAAATATTGTTAAGTATTGTTATTTGTGCTCCGTAACTTTTTGCCACACACGCCACCAAATATAAACGAAACTCGAGACCAAATCGATCGAATGATACGTGTTATGTAACACAATTTTTTTTGCTTTCTCCTGACCGAATCAAAACTAGAATATCCGACATCACCTTTTGAACGCTTCTTTTCTTTTCCTCTGTACGCATTTCTATAGATATAACTAACAATGTCGTATTGGATTAACAAAATAGATTAACAATTTAATAAATCCCTGATATTTCTGTTAAGTTACATAAAAATTCAGCGAGACATTTATTATTAGTCGTTCTAAAATAATTCTTAAAGGACCTATCAAACTCTCTTATTTCTTTCTTTATTCAAAATTTTATTCACGACTATTGATCTGATTAAAGCAACATTTGTAACACTTGTAATGTATCATTAAAAACATCTGTTTTAAAAAAAGAAAAAATATACGCCAAGTATATTTAAAAATATTAGAAGTGTATACATTATTAAATAAAACAGCTTAGCAGCTCCAAAATAGATATAAAATCAATTTAATTAACCGAATATTACCGAGATAATTAGATAAATTTAACCAAACTACTGAGATAAATATATCATAAACCGATGTTTTTTTTATTTTTGCGAGAAAATCGAAAAACGTTGCTTCTAAATAAAACGCTTGCTTCTATTATTTTCCACATATTTGGTCCAAAGAGTTCTCCTCCGCGTTTCTGCAGGTAAAAAACGGTCCTTATTTTTTCTTTGATTCTCCGCGAAAATTTGATTCTACGAGGGAGAGAGAGAGAGAAAGCCTTCCCGTGAAAAAACCCGTCCCGTTTTTTTTCCCCCTCGCGTTCTCCGAAAACTCTGCTCCGTGTGTGAAATTGTGCGCTTTTAACTGCGAGCGATCCGTTTATCGGGTCGCGCGCTGGCCGGCCGGCCAGAAAATCACCACCTGCCGCGGCTGCCCGAGCTAAATGTCGGACCGGCGCGTGTCGTCGCCGCGCCGAATCGCGGTGCGAGAACAGGCATCTGGCTCGAGGGCGCGTCGTCGTCTACGAGCGGCCTCCTCCGAGGCGGCTCGTTACACCGGCGCGCGGCCTGGCGAGCAAGCGAGCGAGCGAGCGAGCGAGTTAGCGAGCACGCTTATCTCTCCATCATTCCGCTCGAAATACTCGAGCGGGTGTGGTACCACCGGTCGTACTCGTTGGGATCGGTCAGCTAGCCGGTTGTAACGGAGCTATAAGATCTGCTGTTCCGTTTCGTTGCTTTGCATCGCGCACCTCTCTTCCGAGGCTGCACCGCCGCTGTGACTTGCTAGAACTTTGCATAGAAATATCATCCTCGCCCAACCGATTTCGATCTTTTTCACCGGTACAAGTTCAAAAGTCATTATAACCGAGAAGTTATTAGCATCGCGCATAATTAACGGCTTCGTGATGAATTAGGTGGAAAAAGAAATGGACGTAGATAAGAAAGCCCTTAGTTTTAGTTTCAAGTTATCGCGTTGGGAATTCTCTGTAGCTGAAAGAAAGTGGGAATTTGGAATCGATCCTTGAGTTGCGTGAATATTTCAGTATAGAGCTACAATTATAAAGTTAATCGATATTAGAAATTAATAGAAAACGGATAACGGGATCTTGTTGCTCGAGCACAGTCGCCGTTTGAAGCGCCACTTTATTTAAAGTGCACTTCAACTCTCGACACTTGGGCTGCTACAGATAATCGTTGAATATTTCACAGATGGGAATAAGGTGAGAATCTCGAATCGATATCTTTTGATTCGAGCCGTAACCGCAAAGTTATTCAATAACAAAAAACAATATCGCGTTCGCCTCCAAATTGCCTCCAACGAATCAACTTTTCTCGTGTATATACTCGCCTCGCCGAGGTTTACTCCGCGAATCTCACGAGACGCTCCGTATTTTCCCACCGGACAAGTGCGCGATCCTAGAAGGATAACGCGTTATACACTCAGAATTGCCGGTCCATTCGCGAAGCGTGCGAGCAAGCAAGAAAGAAAGAGAGAGGGAAAGGAAGAAAAAAAGGAAGAAGAAGAAGAAGAAGAAGAGAGAGAGAGAGAAAGAGTGACAGGAAGAGAGAAAGAGAGAGAAAGAAAAAGAGAGAGGCCAAGAAGGATAGAGGGAGAGGCTGATAATACATATTAATACAGTCGTATGTGCGGGCGCGCTCGCGAGCATCGAAACCGGGACCGGTTCGGGTTTTATGACGGTGTCGAACGTTGCGCGCGAGAACCGGCACAACGACGCGATTTATACATTCGCGGAGCGATCCGTTTTCGAATCCGCCTACGTGGTCGGGGCATTACGCTCCTCTTGGCGTCGCGAACCGTTGTACTCGCACT